CGCGAAGAGCAGGAGGAGGGAACCGGGCCGCAGAGGCCGCAGAGCCCCGCCGGCCCGCGCCCCGCCGGAGGGTGCGCGCGCAGCCTGCCAGATCAGCGGCGGGGGGATGGGCCGTACCAATCTGCGGGGGGGGGGGAGGGGGGCGCTCCGTGCAGGAGCTTCTCCCAGTCCCCTTCCTGCTCGCTCTACGGGAAAGCCGCCCCAGGAAAATCGAGTACGGCCTCTGCTTTGGTTTAGGAAAGTGAGGATGAGCTGCCTTAGCAACTCACGGAGACTCCACAATGCCCGCGCTCACTCTCTCCTCACCTTGCTTCCCCCGGAGAGGCGGCATTTCTGGCCGATCCGCAAATGGTCTCCACGCTCCCCTGTTTGCCCGCCCAGGCCCCGCCCCGGCCCCGCCCCGGCCCCGCCCCTCGCGCCGCTACCTAAGTTCTCCGTGGAGCCCGCGAGGCCAGCCCTTTTCTTGGCTTCGACCTAGTCTCTGCCTTCTTGGTTCCAGCTTCCCGCCGCTTGTGGCTCCTGAGCCTTGCCAGCACTTTCAGTGTTCAGTTTCTTAGACCGCTCCATCCCGCCCTGCATTCACACACACGCGAGCAGGTAACAAAGCTCAGAGACCAGGAGAGGCTCAGGGTCACCTGGTGAAGGTAACATGGCCTTTGGTCCAGAGTCTCCCCACCTCGTCCTTTGGACCTGCCTCAAGTTATTTGATCTCATTGAACTTCAGTTGTTCAAACAGAAATAGAGAAAAATAATTTCTATTTCAAGGTTGTGAAGCATAAGTATGATACTTGGTGAAAAGCACCTGCCACTTCCTGGGCCTTGGAGGACTGTGACTTCTTTATAATAATTATTATTATTAGCAGTTCTTTTCTTTTCTTTCCTTTTCTCTTCTCTTTATCACCATTATTATTTATTATTACTTTAATTGTAAAAGGAATCCTGGTGATACTTGAAGTTCAAAAACACTCAGTACTGGGGTGCCTGGGTGGCTGAGTCTGTTAAGCTATTGACTCTTGATCTCAGCTTAGGTCTTAATCTCAGGGTGTGAGTTCGAGCCCCTAGTTGGGCTCTTCGCTGGGGGTGGAGTCTACTTAAAAAAAAATAAAATAAAAACAATACTGAACTTCAGAAAAATATGCCAGTCTCCCTTACCTTCTAACTTGAATTCCACAAAGAAATGCTTTGAAAGTGGTGGTGGTCAAACAGTTTAGTTTTCTGCTCTTGCTATGTCCAGGTCATTGTGAAAGCATTAGATCCTAAGAAAGTCAGTTGGGGGGGTGGGGGAGGGAAATGAGCTGCAACTCTAGTTTGCTTTCCATTGTCCCGTTTTTTACTTCAGATCACCAATCTGTATGTTAACTTAAGGTATAGGAAATGATTTTTCATTCAGCAAATAAAACTTATAAACACTGAAGGTCTAACCGAGAGTGTTTTGTATGAATAGGATGGAAGTCTTGCAGGTTTCTCATGGCACTCTGTAGGAATTCTAGCTATCCGCCACCACACCACTACATACACTTCCTGGTTCCTCTCTTGGGGCCCCGTTGACTCTGAGCACCCCCCATCTCACGGTGCCATTTGACTATCACTATGCCTATTGTAGCTCATAATCAGACTGAGAAATAATCAGTTTATTGATACTGTTTATTGTAAAAAAAAATGTTTATTGAAACTGTTACTCTCTATCTGCCTTGTTCATGAAGTGGAGAAATCATTTCATATATAAAATAGTATTTCATGAATGGATCACTCATTTATTTGTTCAACATTTACTTTATTTATTTATTTTTTTAACATTTACTTTAAAAATACTTATCAATGGGCACCTGCGTGGCTCATTCGTTAAGGATCTACCTTCGGCTCAGGTCATGATCCCAGGGTCTTGGGATCGAGCCCCGCATCGGGCTCCCTGCTCAGCAGGAAGCCTGCTTCTCCCTCTCCCACTCCCCCTTCTCGTGTTCCCTCTCTCACTGTGTGTCTCTCTCTGTCAAATAAATAAATAAAATCTTTAAAAAAAAAATACCTATTGAGCAATTACTCTATGCCACTGCTAGGCAAAGAGGTACATAGAGAAATATGACATAGTCCCAGGCTTCAAAGAGCTCACCATCTAATTATGATCCAAATGCATAAATGGGTAAGTACGCTGAGATGTCTTCAATGCAACGAACAGGAAGCTGTGAGAATCAAGGGCAGTGTTGCTGACACTGCCTGGAGTTCGGGGGAAGGGGAAGGTGGCTTGTCAAGGAAGGTTTCCCGAAAGAAGTAACCCATGAACTAAGTCTTAAAGGATTGTAGGAGTTAGCCAGATAAAGGTGAAGGACTGGAAGGGCAGCTTGGCAGAGGGGACATGATGAATAAAGGCATGGAAATGGGAAACAAGGCAGCCCATAGGAACTGCAGACTCTTCTCTGTGGTTGAAGTGTAAGGGGCTACGTAGGGATTGGTAAATGAAAGCACTGCAGAACGAAGCTAAAGCCATATCACAGATGGCCGTGCATGTCCTGCCAAGAAGCTGGGACTTTATCCTGTAGGCAATGGGGAGTCAATGCAGGATCTCAAGTGGGAGTTGGTATGGTCAGATTTGTGTTTAGAAACACCTAGGTAGCAGCAGTGATGAGGATAGACTGAGGGAGCCAAGTCTGAGATAAAAAAATTTGGAAGCTTCAGAAGCTGTCCGGACTGTCCAGTTGGATCAAGAGACTGCACTAGGACAATGATAAAATAAGGACAGAGAAGAGAGGGGAGATTCCAGAAGCAAGAAGAAAGTTTGGCAGGAATTGGAAACTGATTGCATGTGAAAAGTAAAGAAGAAAGAGAATCCAAGGATGACATCAGTCTTCTAGCTTAAGTGCATGGTGGTCATGCCTCCTACCCCCATGGTGCCTGGAAAGAGACTAATGCCCAGCAGGAGATACAGGTTTTAGGGAAGCAATGATGTGTTCAATTCTGAGCCTTTTGAATTTGAGGTCCCTGTGGAACCTCCATGTACAGGTGTTCACAAGATTGATAAGTCCAAGCTGGAGATATAAATTTGAAAGTCATCAGCATGGAGTATATTTATGCCATGAAAGTAGAAGTGACCCCCTCAGGAAGACTATGGAACCCTATAAAGTTGTGGCCAAGCATGGATTTCTAAAAGTCCAATAACTAAAGCCCTCAGTTATCCTGATGAATTTGGAGGGAGTGCTGTTTACTGTATTCAAGGTGTGGAATGTGAAAAAGATGTCTGGGGAAGGTGGTGAGGGTTTGGAATAGCCATTAGGAAAAATGAGAGGTGAAAATTGAAAGTTGAAAACCAACAATAGGAGTAATGAGTGATGCCGAGAGCCTGGCTGAGCTTGGGGATCATGAATTCATAGTGGAGGAATCTGCATGATTGTTTGATTTTCTCTATCAGAATGTGACCACTCAAGTGTAAAAGGGAAAAGCTAACACTGATCCAAATTTGGAGCTTTGCTGGGTGATGTGGGAGAAGGAGAATAATACAGGGTATTGGTAAGAAAGTAATCTAAATCATCAATCCTAGGATCCATGGTGTGAGCTGGAAAGGAATGATAAACTAGAATAAGATGTCAAATAAAAGAAAAGGAGATTTCTGTGAGGTTAAAGAGCAGTTGTTACAGGATTGAGGAGTGAAAAAGCCACCAGATCTTTGGTTATGATCATCATTTCCAAAGTGGAACAGTTCCGGGGAATGATTAGGTCTAGCAGGCTAATGGATGCTGGTGGAGGAAGTGGTGTAGAGATTTCAGGTCATCCTAATTTATGGGATCAGGGCTGGAGAGATGTGCAGCTAGTGAAGAGACCGAGAGAAATGTTAAGAGAAATACCATGAGCCAAGTGCCCAAGGCCACAATGACTGGAAGGTTGATAGATGCTTAAGTGACATGGATGCACATTCAATGACTTTTAGGCCTGAACTGGGTGTTTTTATAATACTAAATAAATGTTAAAACTGGTTCTCCAAGAATAACACGACGGATTGAGTAGAATTCTGACTCCACCTCATTTGACTTGGTCAAGTTATTTAAACTCTTGGAGTCTTTGTTTCATCATTTCTGAAATTGAGATGATATTAATACCCCCATAGAGGATTGATAATATCACCTCCTTTCTTAGGGTTGCTAGAAAAATTAATTGAGGTAAAACATGTGAAGTACTTAGTACTTGGCAATAGCAAACACTGAATAAAAGATAGATATTATAATAATAATGAGTTAATGTTTATGTAGCACTTGTTATGCCAAGTATTATTTTAAGCATTAGTCCCATATTACAAATGAGAAAACTTGAGGCCAAGCAACATGAGGTGTCCTGACCAGGATCACATACCTAGTCAGTGTCAGAGCTTGTGTTCAGACTCAGGTAGTCTGGCTCTAGAGGCTGGACCCTTGATTACTGTCCATTAATATACGAGGATAAAGATAAAGAATGTTTCTCTTTATTAATATCACTACAAATTAATGTGTCAATGAAAAAACTTTCATTGAGCACTTTTTTGGCATAAAGTACTAAGTTAAAGAAAATGCCTAGATTGAAATACATCTATGGACTTCCTGAGGATCCCTTGGCCTCGCCTGTCTCTAGGACCCTTGGCTATCACAGTGACCCATCTGGGGCTCTTCTCGCTGTTCTTGGACCCTGCAAAGCTCGGGATCTCACTCCCCCAGCATCTGTTGAGAAGGCCAGGTGACCCAACCAAAAGTGTGGGTGTGTCTCCCCCATGAATGTGAGAAGGACACAGAGGAGCTCAACCAATTTCTTCTCCCTTCCTCCACCCAGTGGCATGATTTTTCAGTAACTCTCTTGTGCAGACATCCCTGGTGGCTGAGCCGGAGCACCTGTTGAGTGACCAGCTGTGTTTGTTTCCCAACTTTTCCTACTGCATTTCCCTTTTCCCTCACTCTCACCTGGCACTGACTTAATTGCCCCAATTTCCGTTTCCTAGAGAAACTCTGAACACCAGGACTTCTGTTCACAAAGCTTTAGAAGGAATGGGCCTATCTCTACATAAAATAAGTAACAATACAGATAACTACGTGATAAACACGGCATGAGTAGGATGCAGCAGAGCGCAAGTTTGAGTCCCCGCCTGAATAGTAACTACATGATCTTATATTTTTCTGCACCTCAGTTTCCTCATACATAAAATGGAGATAGTGATACCTTTGCCGTACTTTCATACCGTTGTGGTAAGAATTAAAAAATGGTACAACCTCCAGGGAAGAAAATTTGATGACATTTATCAAAATTGCACATGCTTTTACCCTTTGATCCAGTAGTTCCAGTCTTAAAATTTATCCTACAGATACTCTTGCACTTACATAAAATGCTGCATGCAAAGGCCCATTCCCTGA